AAACTTGATGTACTAAATGTTGAAAATCACAAAATATGAGGGTAGTAAACAGTCTTTTACCCTTTTATCAAAAATCATGTAACGTTATGTGATTTGTTTTTATATTTGGTGTTTGAAGAATGTTTACGTCGTGTCACATGATTTTGGGCACATTTTTCAAAGTCTTTTAGCTATCGAAGTATCTCATGCCATTAAATGTTAGAAGAAGCAAGATCAATCTCCATTGTTTTCAAATTGACCAAGTATTATGCAGTAATGTCAAGGAGGAAACATCACACAAATGTTGTTTTTGAGAACTCTTTATTATAAAGAGATATAAATTATACCGAAGGGGTGGGAAACAAATAATTGTGGAGTAAAAGATAATAAAGAAATTCTTATGATGACTCGTGGATTTTTACATGCAAATGACAAGAATACTCTCATTAAATTGTTGAGCTTCACATTTGTTCTACGTGTAATTCAACCCTCTTGAAGACATGTGCTCTCATTAAATTGTCGAGGTTCACATCCGCTCTATGCGCAATTCAACCCTCTTGAAGACCTGAGCAGCTAGCTCTATCAGGGTAAATGCTACACATGTGGTCAGCTCTAGCTTTATAAATACCTCATTATCCACCAAAATTTTGGTGAGCTTTTGCCGCGCCATCAAGCCCTAAACTCTTTGTCTTTTAAGAGAAATTGACTTAGATATTGAAGATCCGTTGGCCAAACCATCCTCATCAAAAGTGAGCGTTACTCTGGTCATTGATTTTTTTTTTTTAATTGCTTGGGGGCATTGGATGGGACTTTACGGTATCGTTTGGTATGCAGATGGGATGGGACAAGACGGAACCGAATAAGACGAAACGAGACAGAACGGAGAGGGAGCAAAGATGCCCTCGGATGGAAACAAGGATGAAGAAGGATATGGAGAGATTATAATTTTGTGTTCCACGGATGTGGAACGAGTCGTTCCAGGGGGGTAAGGCGGAATGAAAATTCATCCAAAATTCGTCTCGTGGAACAGCGCGTTCCACCCGTTTTAGGCGCACCAAACGTGGGACGAAACGCCTCGTCCCACTTCATTTCGTCCCGTCCCACGTACCAAACGATTAACGTTCATGTCCCTGAGCGAGATGAACCAAGATACCAATCAAGGAAGGGAGAGATTACGACTAATATGTTGGGAGTTTGTAATCTAGAAATGAATTTTATATTTGTGTACCCAGGTTGGGAAGGGTCAGCCTCTGATTCTAGAGTACTCTGAGATGCGATAAGTAGACCATTGGGATTAAAAGTTCCCACGGGTAACAATAGATTATTTGTTTATATTAGTAATTTAAATCCTCAATTTTCTTATATATTGTAATTAGGGCTGGTTCGGTATGGTATCGTTTGATATGCAGACGGGAATGGACGAAACAGAATGGGACGGGACGGGACGGAACGGAGAGGGAGCAAAGATGCCCTCGGATGGAAACAAAGAGGAAGAAGAATGAGACAGAGAGATTATAATTTTGTGTTCCATGAATGTGGAACGAGTCGTTCCAGGGGGTGAGGCAGAACAAAAATTCACCCAAAATTCGTCCTGTGGAACAGTGCGTTCCACCTATTTTAGGAGCACCAAACGTGGGACGGAACGCCTCGTCCCACTCCGTTCCATCTCGTCCCACGTACCAAACAGTACCTATGGGATACCGAACCGAAAACGGCATATCAAGTCCCAAACCGATTATTTTTGAGATGGAAATCTGAGGACATATCCCAAACCAAAATTTCAGCATTCTCGAAATATTTTTAGTATTTCAGGATTTCCCGAAACCGAACTTGCATTAAAAATTAAAATTTTAAAACTCCAATTTAAAATCAGAGACACTGGTGAATCAATGAAAATTGAAGGTCGAGAGAGAGACAAAGTGCAAAGATTGTCAGACCTTCATCTTTCTCCTGACCCGAGCCCCCAATTCGAACCCTAACCTTGATTTGAAACCCCACACATATAGAGAATTGCTAGAGAGAATCAGAGGTGGGGATGAAGCAGTGAGGAGTGGTGGTGGCCGGAGTGGAGAGAGTTGGTCGGAGTTTGATTGTGAGAGGATGAATGGGTCTTCGAATTCAATAGGAGAGACAGAAAAAGTTTGAGATTTTGGCGAAGGCAGAGATGGGAGAGAGTGAGATGGGAGAGACATTTGTCTAAAGAGTTTGAGTCTTTAGACATCTTTCTGCAAACTTTCCTTATTTTAATATTATATTATAGGCTATGTTTGCAGTTTGCTTGATTGTAATTTGGACAGCACATAAAAGTCATGTGCTTTTTTGCATACTTTGATTATTTTAGTAATATATAATTGATATTGCAGTTTGCTTCTACACACTTTGTTCTTTGGTAGTGTGGGAAGTACGAACCAAAAGCAAAAGGAAAAGAAGATTTCAGGATTTCGGGATTACCGAAAAATGAAATCTGAAAAACCAATCCCATACCGAATATTTCGGTATTTTTGGTACAGGATTACCAAAGTTCAGGATAATTTCGGTTTGGGTTTGGGATTTTTTCCAGCCCTAATTGTAATATACATTTTTTGGTGTGTTAGGGTGTTACTACCTTGTTGATGGTGGGTACACAAATGGTCTAGGATACCTTGCACCATATAGGGGAGTGCGTTACCATCTCTAGGAGTGGAGAAATAGAAGACTCCCGATTAATCATGAGGAGTATTTCAATACGAAACATGCTACAACTAGAAATGTCATTGAGAGATGTTTTGGACTACTTAAGATGCTTTGGAGCATCTTAAGAAGTCCATCATTTTTTCCAATTAAAACACAACTTAGGATTATGACAGCCTGCTGCCTATTACATAATCTTATTAGAAGACATATGTCATCTGATCCAATAGAAAATGAAATCCTAAACTTGGACAAATATGAAAGTGATGATGATGATGATATGATTGAGACTGTTCAACCTACACAAGAATGGACTGCATGGAGAAACACTTTGGCTATGAATATGTACAATGAGTGGCGTGCACAAGTGTGATTTGATTAAATTTTCTTATATATGCATGTTGTGATTTGGTTATGGTTTGCTATTTGAACAAATAGTGATTTCTTATGTATTGTAGGACAAAGTGTGACCTAGTTATGTATTTATTTAAAAAGTGTGATGATTTGCTTATGGCTTTTATCACTTACTATTAATTATATGCACGATTGATTATATGCTATCTTATTGTGTATGTAATTATAGGAATGGAAGTGAACAAGTAGTCAACCAAAGGAAGTAGAAAGGTTTGGAAACAATAGGAAGAAGATGCATTGTTGTCCATACTTGAGGAGGCAGTTGTTAAGAATTTATGATGTGATAATGGTTGTTTCAAACCCGGAACAGTGGCTCAGTTTGATACAGTTTTAATTTGAAATGTCCTAATGCCAATATAAAGGCAGTTCCACGTATTGAGTCGAAAATGAGGAGGTGGAAAAAAGAATATGCAATAGTTTACGACATGGTTAATAAAACTGGTTTTGCATGGAATGATGTACGAAAATGTATTGAGGTTGATATCACTGAAGTATAGGTAATTCTCTAACATAATACTAGAATTTAACTTTACATATTTGATTACTTAACTTGTTCTTTTACATACATTTTAATAGTATGACTGTGTCTACCAAACTATATCCTCTAGCCCCATTCGTTATGGCAACTTAATTAAATTAATGGATGCTTGATTATATCAAGACAGATTGAAGGGAACAAAATAAGATTATTTGTATTTTATGGATAGTGTTATTTGTTTTATCATTGTATGTTAACAAAGAAGCAGAGGGTTGGCTACGAAAATCGTATCTCATGTATGACATATTGAATGTTATTTTTGGGAAAGACCGAGCAACCAGGGTAAAAGGTGCAACTCCTACTAAGATGATGAATGAGCCTACGCAAATTAATGAAAATGAAGATGAAGCTGATGTGGAGACTAGTTCTCCCTTTATTGCTCCGCGTTCTAGCAATTCAAGTACCAAGAAAAGGAAGAGGTCTGTTGCTAATGATAATGATCTTGCTGTGACATTTAAAGAAAGGCTTTATGAATCAGTTGATAAGTTGGGTAAAGTTTTACAAGCTGCTTTTGGGAAATGAGTGGATCTAAAACCTGAGATTGCTTCAAAATTGTCGAAGATGAATTCGTTTATTGAGGATCAAATCAAGGCATTGAATATCCTTTTCGAAAAGCCATAGAATGAGAGGACATTCTTGTCTTTGGATGGTGCAATGAAAAAATCATTCGTACTCATGTTACTTTGACAAAGTAACTGCAATTGACATTGGAAAACAACAACAATATATTTTGTTAAAAGTAACATGCATATCTTTTGTTAAAAGCTGCAGTATGTATATATTTTGGATACTTGGACAAATTGCTTCTTACTGAAAGCAAAGCAGCATCATGCATATATTTTGGCTATTTGGACAAATTGTTTCTTACTGAAACCGACTTGCATTTTTATATTTTGTGAACTTAGATATGTGGTTGGATTAATCTATATAATGTAACGACTATAGTTGTGTTTTGTGAACCTTTTTTTATGTTATTGAAAAATATTTTGAATTTGATGTATGGAATTTACTAATTTTCTTTGTTATTTGAAAATTTGTTTGGTTTTCAATAGGTATAAATATGAGAAAAGTTCAATAGACAAACAAAGATTTGTCAAATTTTTTTCCTTCCCTTTTCTTATATGGTTCAGTACAAAACATAGTATAAATAATACAATCATTAGTCCAATACTGCATCAAACGCCCGACTAATTTAGTCACTACTATCTGGTGGCTATTTATCATATCATACAGAAATAGTTAGTACAATTTGAGTTGCCAAATGAAGTCTATGAGTCTTTCTAACTCCTGAAAATTGGACTGACGTGGCGTAGTCTCCAACCGATCATTTTTTGAAAAAAAAATAAATAAATGTTGTGTTCGACATTGAGTACGTGGCATAATTATGGCGCAAAAGGACAAATTCTGAACCCTTCTGGTAGTAATTCCACCAAACACTCGTACTTACGCGGTTGGGCTTTTCGTCACGGGAACCATTGTTGCGCTTTCGCCTGAGGCGACCTCGAAGTTTTTCGCTCCAACCAAAAATGGCCCGATCTCTACGACAGGGCTTCAACATCGCCCGAGCGCACGTGCTTTCGCGGCCACGATGGGCGTCGTCGCAGTCTTCGGAGGCGCTGGTGGAGGTCAATGTCCCCGACTTTGGCATGATCTCCGGAATTCCCGAACAGCATCTCCGACGAAGGGTTAGCTATTCAATCACTCGTCGTTTTTCAAAATTTTCATATTTCTTTCTTTTTTTTTAATATGAAAATTTATTTTTTTCTTTTCAAAATGTTCATAAATTTAATCCTGGATTTGGGTGTGATTAGGTTATAATCTACTCGCCTGCTCGAACTGCGAGCCAACAAGGTTCTGGGAAAGTCGGGAGATGGAAAATTAATTTTCTTTCGACGCAGAAGTACGTATATTGATGTCTTAATCATGTTTTGCATGCATACTTGATGATATTTATAGTTAATTTCATCGATTTTACTTAATTAATTGTGTATGTGTAATATAATTAGCTTAATTATCTCAGCTGTGTTGTGTTTCTTTGAAATTTGATAGCAATATTGGTTGATCTGCAATTCCATTATCGGATGCTAATTGTTGAAGAATGTAAATATCCCCGACCGAAAATTTGATGAAATAAAACACAGTAGGAATAAATGGTTCTGCTACTAATGCACTGAGAGCTTTTGCGATAAAACCGCACACCAACCGTGTTGTGAGGAGGGAATGTGTAAGTCAGGGATAATATTGGTGTAGATTCGTCACTGCCGGGAGGTCCGTCTCTCTGAAATCTTGATTCTAATTATACCAAATTTCATTGAAATTTTTGCAGGTGGGAAAACCCATTGATGGGATGGACATCTACAGGTGATCCCTACGCCAATGTTGGTGAAGCAGGACTGAGTTTTGAGAGTGAAGAAGCTGCGAAGGCATTTGCTGAGAAACATGGCTGGGATTATACGGTAGGTGCCTCTTCGAGTTTTGATCTTTCTGCATTGATAGAACTGTACCCAAATCAAACTGTTCTTGATTTTTCTGTCCAGTTTTATTATATGATTAAGTAAAAAGTAATGGTTCAAGCCTAGGACTGGATTGAATTGGATAATTCATTGTATTCAAGGTACGTAAACAGTGGCGGAGCCACGATTTTAGTCTAGAAGTGGCCCAAAAGTCTGAATCTAAAAAGCTCTCATAATCTTACTCTGCCGTATGGTGAGCAGCAACCAACCGCTGTTGTTTAGGTCTAGTATGGTGTTGTCCTCATCATGCTCTTCCTTAAATGTAAACCCCAAGCCTCTTTGACTTTCTTCCTCTCTTCCTCCTTCTCAAAGCTGACAAGCAACAGATTGCTTGAACTCCATAAAAGCCACCAGCCTCAAATCAACCTGATGGAAAAAAATTAAAGTAAAAACATTAGATTGGGCCCCCGAGCCTACAGAAAAACCTTGAAAATTGTAAGCATAACGCTAAACTTTTCAGCGTGAACAAAATGTTTGGCTGAGCCTGGAAACATCACAGTCCCTTCATGGCTCTGCCGTAATTTTTTTATCCAGCTTGAACGTAGAACATGAATTACTTGTTCGGAAACCTATTCCATTATGAGGGATCAGTTTTCTTGTCTAATCCCTCCTATGGTATCAAAATAAAAACTCCTTTACCCCTATCTTTTAACGTACCTTAAATTTTATGACTCATCCAGTCCAATCCTATGCACGAAATGATCCTAATGTTCCACAAAATTTTGTATGGAATTGGATATCGTGTGTGGAAATTAACCACAATTTTGCACACTCTTGACTCATAATGAACTGCGCTTGCAGGTCAGGAAGCGTCACACTCCACTTTTGAAGGTTTGAACTTTGAAATCCCCCTACCAAACTTATTTGAAGATGAATTACTAGTTTTTCCAATTGGATCACAGAACGCTAGAAGCTCTATTAATCTAAATCTTATGACCATTCGTAGGTCAAGGCTTATGCAGACAACTTCAAGTGGAAGGGCCCTGAAAAGAGTGAGAAGACTGCAGCTGATGCTGCAAACATCTGAGAACGTTATTTCCTCCCCCAGAATGTCCCTACCTACCCCCGCAAATGCCATTGTGCGCGGTACATACCATTAGCGACAATGACGTCAAGTCGCGGGTGTAGGTAAGTCTTTCCTTGAATCCGATCAGTACTTATGCTTGTGTGTTCGTACTTGTGAAGTGCTGGATTTGGAAAATAAATTGAGATGAACATATTTTTTTTTCTCTCTTAAAACGCTGGGCAAACTTTACATATGCTTCCTCTTACTATATGCATTACATAGAACATATATATACTAAACACTTAAGCTGCATTGTTTCCCTCCCCTAGTGAGCCTAGCTACACTACTTCTCTTAATTACAGTACAAATTTTTCAAGCACTGGAGCTGGAGGACTGACAGCCCTCTCTGCTGTGGGTGTGGAACCTCCATTCAAAGAGGTAGTCCTTGGACTCACAGGACAGCTTCATCACGTCGCAGAACGTGTTGATCGCGTGCTTGTTCATGTCTTTCCCCCACTCAATCCTCACCCAGCAGGAGAACCCGTTTGAGGAAACGGGCACTCCGGAATCAGAAAGCTGCAGACTGACCTCCCCGTTGATCCTCTTGCCTCCAAACCGCCCGTCGCCTCCGGCCACCATGGCGTCGAGCCATGGACACTCTGGCTGGCCCACCATTTCCTTGTAGGCAGAGTTTGCCATCCTCACTTTGTTGTGTGAGTCTGATATGATTGCTGGCAGGGCTTCAGACTCCATCTCCTCCTCGACGTCCTCTGGTTTCTTAGGAACTTGCGCTGCCAGAGTTAAGCTCGGGTCTGCGCTGATGCATCCAACGCTTATGCTGGAACCCACCGGTCGAATTGGCTGCGGCGCTATGACATTGGTGGGTGTTGGTGGAGGTGCAGGGGAATTCCCCTGTAGTTGCTTGAGCAGATCTTTTTCCTCTGGGATTTCAGCTGCCACGGTGTTCAAATCAATCAGCTCCTCCTCTCCTCCTCGGCAGGGTTTGATCAATTCGAACTCTGGCGGCACCACCGCTGGGTTTGTGACAATGGGGGCCGACGCAGGAGGGATATATGGCAGAAGAGGCAGAGTCATCAAACCGGTGGAGTTGTTGGCGGCATCGAGGCTGGCCGGAATGGGAAGCTTCGGAAGCACACGAGCAAAACCATCCAATCTCGGATTTTTCACCGGAGATTGCACATGACAAGGAGTGGCAAAGCCTAGCATTTGATGACTCCTCTGCCTCTTAAAGGTGGTCGGAGAGAGAGCTGATCGACCCCGCTTTCGAGTCCTGGTGGGTCTGGCCTGCAACTGCGGCCAGAGGTTCCTAAGGTAAGGAGAGTCCCTGATTTTCTGAGACATGGACGGGCTTTCGCCTGCTGGGTTTGATGGGGTCACAGGTTTTGGCGCTATGGGCCTGTACCTGGACATAATCTCAGCGGTTTTCTCCGTGTTGGTGTAGGGATTCAACGTCTTGATCATGGTGGCGGTAGCCGGTTCTCTTTGCTAACGCCGGCCTACCAGCTGTTCGGTAACGACGGTGGTGGCGACGGTGGTTGTGAGCCAAAAGAGAGTGTTGGGAGAAATGTGGAGGGAGGAGGAAGGATTTTGAGGGGGGAGGTTGGTGGGGGGTTTTAAGAGAGGGATTGGGTGTTTTTAAGAGTGAGAATTGGACCAATAGGAGAAGGCCAGCATAGATAGAAGAGTAAGCAGAGAGTGACACTTGGAAATGTACGGTGGGTACGTGTTTGTGAGAGCACACAGAAAAATGTCCATGTAGGACTAAGTGGGGTCCATTTTTTTCTGTGCTGGGTATGTGGCTGGGTACACCCACCAATCAGACGCCTGGCTTTGCATGCAATTCTCCTAAAACTGAAGACCAACGCGTGTGGGTTTGGCCGCCATGCGTGGGTACACCTATCACGATTGGTTTGGGCGAGTTTTGGCGTTTTGTTCAATTTACGAAACTGCCCCTTCTTCCGGGTCGGTTTTATTTGGCAGGGGGTGACGTGTCGTTCCGCTGCGTCTGGATCTGCATGCAACCGGATGCGGTGGAGTCTGATTGGTGGGTGAAGCCTCGGGATGCAGAAATTTTTAGTTATGAGTGGTTTTATGTAAATGGTGAAAAAATTTAAATTTTAAATTATTAACCTTTTAACACGCATTCCACCATTTATATAAGGACATGTGGTATACCATATCGTGTGACGGTTACACTGAAACACGTTTACACTGAAAAATCTCTCGGAGGGAGGTTAAAACGTTACAGAGAGAGAGAGAGCGAGGTGGGAACGGATTACACGTGGCACGATGGGAAAACGTGGTCTGTGCAGCTAGGGCTCTGCGTTTTGTGGAGAAAGCCGGTTCGTTTTGCTTTGCTATTAGCGCTACGCTGCGGTGCTCGCCAAGTCGCTGAGTGGTGGTTGCGTGGGAGGCGCCGCGCGAAGAACGGATGCCGAGGTTGGAGAAGGCTATTGGGTAAGGGGTTTGGTTGTGGGCCCGCTTGGTTCTAGTCAGATCTTCTATTTTTTTAGGCTCCTTTGGTGCAAATCAACGGCCATAATGCATAACTAAATTTTATTACCAATAACACTAGCTTACACGGTAAAGGCCCAAATACAAAAAGCAAAAAATGGACCTCCCGAGCAAATCAAAATGAGCCCAAAACCAGAAACAAATCAAAAGAAAATTCAAGATGTCTGCTACCACCACGGCAACAGTGTGTCACGATCAACCCGATTCGACTCCCCCAATAGACGCCAAAAACACAACCATGCAGCATCGCGGAGATGAAGTGAAGGAAGACCGCATCATCCATCCACAAACGTCGCGTCGATCTCAGCCATAAATTCAAAGGAGCCAGCCACCAATTAAAAGAAGTTCGTGGAATTACCACAAGCAACACTGTCAACAAAGACAGATAGAGCGAAGGGGGTGGTGTTTTATCACCCGAGCTGATTTAGACGTCAAAACTCTACACTCCATCTCGATTGATCGCAACAAATTGCGTTGGAGACTGACTGCAGATCAAATTGGAGGTGCTTGAGGAAGATGGACGCCCATGGGGTATGATGGACATGGCGAATCAGGAAGGAGAGATGGGGAAAAAAGTAGCTAAAGGAACGAAAGAAGGAAACAAAGAGAAAAAGGGAAAGATATGTCGTCGACCCCAGCCACAGCAAGGGCCAGCGGCTTCGAAATTGGACGAAAAGGAAACCACTTACATAGGTGGTGAGCAGAGGCGGATCTATTAAGGGATCAAAGTGGTTCCAGGACCACCCAAAGGCTCAAAAAAGTGGCTATGAAAATCTCCAGGACCACCCAAATCCGGGCTATGGTGGAGGAGAAGAGCAACCATGGCTGCCAAGCATCTTCTGCAAAACAGAAGAAGAAAGAAGATGACTCTTTTTCTTTCTAATTACTTGGCCAAAACGAGACCGTTTTGAGCCAAACCATTAAAAAAAAAAAAGAAACTAATGATAAAGACAAAATAAAGGGTAAAGTGAATAGTACCATAATTGACTTTTTAGTGTAAAAATGTGATTTTTCGTTAAAATGAATAGTACCATATGCTTTTCGTTAGAGTTTCCTAAAAAAAATAGAAAGCGTGCATTTTTTATTGTGATTGGACATCCGATCACATCTCTTTGGTTTAGACTCCACGTGAGTTTTACACACTGGGTAATGTGATTTAATGATAAGGACAAAATAAAGGGTAAATTAAATAGTACCATGATTGATTTTTTAGTGTAAAAATATGATTTTTCGTTAAAGTGAACAATATCATATGATTTTCGTTAGAGTTTCCTAAAAAAAAATGAAAAGCGTGCATTTTTTATTGTGATTGGACATCCGATCACATCTCTTTGGTTTAGACTCCACGTGAGTTTTACACACTGGGATTCCTCAACTCTACCAACCAGTAAAAAACTTTAAACTTACCTTCCTTCTCTATGCTTATTGTTGACTGCTGCCCACTGGACGTATAATCTTTGTTGGCATTTGGGTTTAGCCTCTAGTTTGCATACATCTTCCATTCTTCTCTTCGATCCCAAAACCCTAATTAGAGTTTAGTTATGCAAGTTTTTTTTGGGGTGCCTAGTTTATCTATTAGTGCATGTTGTGAGGATTTGTCACTCAAGTGATCAATACAGTGTTTGTCTTTGTATTAACGGCAAGAGTTTTGATAGTCTCGCATTCACGACAAGAGTTACACATTATGTAGTTATACTTCAAGACAACAGAAATATATATTTTATTTTGATAGACAGATAGTGACTTTGTCGTTTTTTTTTCATGTTAGTTTGGTCTAAATCTTTTTTTTTTTTGAGCTTTAAAGTTCAAGGTTCTAAAAGTTGCTAGCCGCTAGTCGGGCGGTGGGCTGGGGCCTAGCGCTTAGCGGCTAGGCGGGGCCTAGGCGGATGCCTAGGCAGATAGGCGGATTTAAGTAAATCTATCATATTTCAGGTAAATAAGTGTCTGCTTCTACTTGAAATATATATAATTTCATCATAAACTACAAAATAGAATGCATATATATCATGAAGTATTGGAACATAATGAAAACATGTGAAATAATGATATAATGTTTGTTCATTCAAGTATGCAACAAGTCTCTTACAATTTATTGAAAAAAAAATGCAAAATGAAAGTTATGTATTTTCTGTTTAAGTGAGTTGCAACCTAGGCGGGTCTAGGCGGGTGCCTAGGCGGGCTAGGTAGGTGCCTAGGTGGTCTAGGCGGTGGACTGGAGCCTAGGCATTAATCGGGGCGGTGGGGTGGGGCCTAGGCGGCTCTAGGCGAGGATTTTTAGAACAGTGTTAAAGTTAGAACCACTCCATGTTAAAATCCTGGATCCACGGTGGTGAGAGTAACTCTCAGGAAAAGAGGGCCTCTAACAAGAAGAGAAGAATCCATTTAAAGTTGGTTCAGTATTGGTTTCATAAATGCTTATTCAAAAAGTTTTTTTTTATATTAAAAATCGTTAAATTTTGTATTAGATTTTAAAGATGCAAGTGTTTTTTGAAAATTGTGTGGAACTGCTTGTTGAAAAAACATTTTGTGTGTGCTTCTTTAGAAAGCGAAAACAATTTTATAATTAAAAAGCTGCGAAACCAAATCATAAGTACCTCATGAGTTGATGGATGATTAGATAATTGAATGGTAGAAAATGTAAGTAAATCGTCAAATGTTGATGATTGGTCAAGTAATATTTATCCAATAAACATGATTACTCCAGTTAATCCATCCTTAAACCACTAATAGGCTGCTGACGAGGAAACCAATGCATAATGAGCACCACACCACCTTATCTAATAATTCTTCTCCACTAAGTTCAAAAAAAAGTTTTTTTTTTTTTTTTTTGTTTTTGTTTTGTTTTTATTTTTATTTTTGTTTTTAAAAAAGACCTCATCATCCAACTACAATCGTCGTGCCATCTTAGCAAAAAATGGAAAGAAGCCAGCCACCAATTAAAAGAAGCCTGCAGAATTACCATGAGCAATACTACCAACAAAGGCAGATAGAGAGAAGGTGGTGGTATTTTAACACCCGAGCCAGTTTGAACATCAAAACTCTACACACCATCTCGATGATTTGTTGCATTGAAGACTGACTGCAGATCGAATTGGAGGTGCTTGGGGAAGATGGACGCCCATGAGGTATGAAGGACATGGCAAATTAGGAAGGAGAGCTGGAGAAAAAAGTAGTTGAAGGAACGAAATAAGGAAACAGAGAGAAGGGAAAGATATGCCATAGCGAGGGCCGACGACTTCAAAATTGGACGAAAAGGAAACCACTTCCACAGGTGGTGAGAAGAACTCTCAAGAAGAGAGAGCCTCTCACAAGGAGAGAAGAATCCATTTATAGTTGGTTTAGTATTGGTTTTGTAATAAGTGCTTATTCAAAAAGTTATATATTAAAAATCGTCGAAAATTGTATTAGAGATGCAAATTTTTGAAAATTACGTGGAAATGTTTCTTGAAGAAACATTTTGTATGTGCTTTTTTTTTTTGGGTTAAGATTTTGTATGTGCTTCTTTAGAAAGCGAAAACAATTTTATGATTAAAAAGCTGCGAAACCAAATCATAAGTACCTCATGAGTTGCCTCATGAGTTGATGGGTGATTAGATATTGAATGGTAGAAAATGTGAGTAACTCGTCAAATGTTGATGATTAGTCTAGTAATATTTATCCAATAAACATAATTACTCTAGTTAATTCGTCCTTAAACCACTAATAAGTTGTTGACGAGGAATCCAATACCTAATGAGCACCACACCACCTCATCTAATAAGTCTTCTTTATTAAGTTTGAAAAAAAACTTTGTTTTTTTTTTGTTTTTAAAAAAGAATGAAAAACCAAAATATAAGTAAAGCATTACTTTGGAGTTAGGAGTAGGGCTGGGCACGGGCCGGGTCGGGCCTAAATTTGAAGGAATCAGACCCTATTCGTTTTAAAATGTAACAGGGCCGGCCGGGGCAGGTAGAGGGATTTTGAGTTTGGGAACTGGACTTAACCCGACCCGTTTCAAACGGGTAGGTTCGGGGTGAGTCCGTGGATCCAATTACTTTTTTATTTTTTTTTGGGTTTTGATACAGAGCTTCAGAACATTCCAGATTGCTCTCATTGCCGCAACCGTTCTTCCCGATCAACCAAAATTGATTTCCCAAATCGACGCCACAACTCCCATCAAGCAGCATCGTAGAGATGAAATGAAGTGATACCCCATCTCCCGGTTACGAACGTCGCACCAGTCTCGGCCAGAAATTGAAAGAGGAAGTTGGAAACTCGACACTTGGACCGGCAGAAGCACTTGACTGTCGACTGTCGAGATTCGAGATGGAGGGTTGAGGAGATTCAGTATGGGTTCATGAGAGAGATCGTGAAAGTGGGGACTGGGTCAATGAGAACCTCTAAGTCTGGGATGTCATCAAGGACTCGAGGAGGACAATCGAGGTTGATGGGTCGTCGTGGTGGTCGCTAAGGCCCAGATTTGCGACGGCAATGATGTCAGGGTGGTGGAGGAGATGACAGACGGAGAGTGACAAAGTGTGGGTGGAATTGTGGAGGGGAAAGGACGACGCACGCGAGACGGCGAGAGAGAATCGAGTTCGAGGACTCAAGTGACATAGTCGAGCTCGAGGAGACCTAGGGTAAAACTAATGGTTAAGATTGGATGGTAGGTTACTCTTCAATCTTGTCTGTCCATTGCAATTACAAACAGGCCAGTCGGGGGCCTTGTTTTTCTATACATCTGGAACCGGGCCACCCTTAAAATTTCATCGCCTTGCCCCGCCCCGCCCCCCCTTCCCCATTTCTCTTATTAAAAAATTGGAACCTGCCCGTACCCGCCCCAACCCATAGTTCCTATATCAGTTTGCCCACCCCTATTTAGGAGTGCCACTTTTTATGTATTTCGGTTGTGACTAATGCATCTTTATTGTTTACATTAAATAATTTAAGTAGTTTGCAATGTCGTATTTTAAAGATTAAAAAAATAAAAATGGTTTAGTAATTTATATACATTGAACAAATTGAATATTTTGATAATAATTAGATTGTCGCAATGAAGTTTGAATGATAAATTGAAAAATAAAAACGGGTTTTTATTATGATAGATATGTGTTAAAATTTATCATTCACAACTGGTGTGGATAGACATTTTACCTAATTATTGTCCGTAATAGTCACATTTAGACCTGTAAACGGGTCGGGTTTATTGGGTTTGGGTCGGGTTGAACCCGACCCGTTAAGTTAACGGGTCACCCGAACCCAACCCGTTAAGCTAACGGGTCACCCGAACCCGACCCGTTAAGCTAACGGGTCACCCGTTTCACCCGTTATCACCGGTTAACAATTATTATTATTTTTTTTTTGCATAAAGTTTATTTTTTGTTATCAAGACTTTACTAAAATTACTAAAATATCCTCAACTAACGGGTGCTAACGGGTGTTAACGAGTCCTAACGGGTCTAACGGGTTGACCCAAAGTGACCCGTTATTTAACGGGTTGTTAACGGGTTCACCCGTTAGCGACCCGACCCGTTAAGCATCCATCCAAATACAAATATTAACGGGTTGGGTCGGGTCGGGTTAATGGGTTGGGTCCAAAATACCAGGCCTAGTCACATTGACGGTAATGACTGAATCTATCACACGTTAATGAAAGTTTCCCGACGGAAATGGACGAAAATGACCTACAATTTGACGGAAACGTAAGGGAGGGATTGACTCAAAACTTTTTAAATAAAGAATATTAGAAATTGCTCATTGTTTTTCCTTTAATAAAGAAAAAGAAAATCGAAAATAAATAATGGAAAAGGCTTTGCCTTTGTCGTTGGGTTTGGCTCAGTCATTCTTTAGTGGACTGTGGAGCGAAAATGGCGGACACCAAATTCAAGAGGCACCAATCTGTGCCCGCCAACTACGTCACCCTCAACGACCTCAAAGAGCGCTGGCTCAGAGACCAGGAACGACAGCAGAAGGAGAAAGAACGACGGCAAGAGGAGAAGAAACGACAGGAAGAGGACGAGAAACGACGACGAGAGGAGAGGGAACGGCGAGAAGAAGAGGCGAAGCAGAAGAGGCAAAACGCCATCGTTCGGAACCTGGAAATCGGTTCCAAGCCTAGGTATGGTGGTAATCGGGGACAGCTTCGGCCAGTTAATCGGAGTGTTTCGGAGTTCGGTGGGGCTGAGGTGGAGGGGAAAAGAAGGGAGGAAGGAAAGCCGAAGCAAAACGCTGTCGTTAAGAGAGCCGAAACCGATGACAAGCCGAGGAATCGCGAGAATCGGGCAGAGTTTCGGCCGGTTTATCGGAGTGTTTCGGAATGCGAGGTTATTGAGCTGGAGGGAAAAAGGGGCGAGGTGGGAGAACCGAAGGAAAACGTCGTCATTCAGAGAACCGGAACGGGTAACAATTCGAGAAATCGGAGTGACCGGGCACAGTTTCGGACGGTCAATCGGGTTGGTCTGGCACCCTTGTTGGAGAGGGAAAGAAGTGAAGAAGCAGAGGCGAAGCAGAACGCCGTCGTTGGAAGAACCGGAACCGGTAACATTCCAAGAAATCGGAGTGATCGGGCACAGATTTGGCCAGTTAATCGGAGTGTTTCTGAGCGGGAGGGGAAAAGAAACGAGGAAGAAAAGCTGAAGCATTACGCGGTCGTTAAGAGAGCCGAAACCGATGACAAGCCGAGGAATCGTGGTAATCGGGAAGACTTTCGGCCGGTTAATCGGAATGTTCTGGAATGCGAGGATGCTGAGCTGGAAGGGAAAAAAAGAGAGGAAGGAGAGCCGGAGGAAAACGGTGTCTTCCGAACCGGAACCGGTAACAATCCGAGAGATCGGGCACAGTTTCGGACGGTGAATCGGGTTGGTCTGGCACCCTTGCTGGAGGGGAAAAGAAGCGAGGAAGAAGAGGCGAAGCAGAACGCCGTCTTTCAAAGAGCCGGAACCAGTAACCATCCGAGAAATCGGAGTGATCGGGCACAGTTTCGGCCAGTTAATCCGAGTGTTCCGGAGCGCGATGGGACTGTGCTGGAGGGGAAAAGAAGCGAGGAAGAAAAGCCGAAGCAAAGCGCTGTGGTTAAGAGAGCTGAAACCACTGACAGACCGAGGAATCGCGGTAATCGGGAAGAGTTTCGGCCGATTAATAGGAATGTTTCGGAATGTGAGGATGTTGAGCTGGAGGGAAAAAGAAGCGAGGAAGGAGAGCCGGAGGAAAACGGCGTCGTTCGGAGAACCGGAACGGGTAACAATCCTAGAAATCGGAGTGATCGGGCGCAGTTTCGGACGGTGAATCCGGTTGGTCGGGCACCCTTGCTGGAGGGGAAGAGAAGCGAGGAGGAAGAGGCGAAGCAAAACGCCGTCGTTCAAAGAACCGGAACCGGTAACAATCCCAGAAATCGGAGTGATCGGGCACCCTCGCTGGATGCTAAAAGAAGCGACGAAGAAGAACTGAAGCAAAACACCATAGTTGGAAGAACCGAAATTGCTAACAAGACGAGGAATCGGAGTGATCAGGGGCAGTTTCGCCCAGTTAATCAGGGCGTTTCAGAGCTCGAGGTTGCTGAGCTGGAGGGGAAGAAAAACGAGGAACCAGAGGAGGAGAAGAAATGGAAGAAGAGGAAGGGTAACAGAAATTGGAAGAACAAAGCTAGGGAAGAGAAGGAGGAGGTGACTGAGAAGGAAGGTGGAGTGGACGAGCCTCCGGTGCGTGGCGAGAAGGAAAACGATCAGGCGACTGGAAAGGAAGAAAACGGAGTTGGAATTGAAATTGAAACTGAAATTAGGGCAAAGAGCGAGAATGTGGTTCTGGCGGAGGAAATTGTACCGAAATTTGAGGGTTTATCGGTGGATGGTGAGGCTGGTAATGGGGATGATAAGCTGAGGAGGTGGAGTGGAGCTGATCGCCGTGGTAACGGTGAAATAAGGGATTATGATAAGAGGGTAGGCCGCTTCCATTTACAGAGACAGAGAGGTTCTGGGTTTAGACTTTGGGTTAAGAAAGGCGAGGTTGGTGACAGCAATGGCGGAGGAGTTCAGAGCTTGGAGGGCAGTGAAGCTGTTTCTGGTGAGTCAGAATTCACTATTTGTTTAAACAATGCCTTTGTTTGTGATGTTTGCTATTTTATCATAGCTTATTTAACTGATTTTAGATGAAGGGAATGCAATGATTAGAAAGAAAAAAAAGGTTTTGGTATGCCGAGAATCGTAATGTAGCATGAATTAGAGCATTTCTAAGTTACAATGCTGTGGGAAAAGGTAGTTTTGTGTCAATTGGTTAAGATTGGGAACAGTAGGGATTGATAGTCTGAGCGAAAGATTTGACGCATAGCATTGATCAAAAGTTTGCAGTTTAGTAGGAGAATTGTAAATATCATTACAAAAGATTTGATTTGAGAAGAACACGAAGGGTAATATCAGCTTCAGCTGGTAAACTTGTAGCTTACTAGAAGGGAAGTATAGGCGCTGGAGGCACAGTTAATGTTTTTATTTTAAGGGAACACTACCCCAACCTACATGCTCCACTCAGAAAGCTTCAACATACAAGCTTCAACAAAAGAAAATTCAAAGAACTTAGCGAAGAAGGCTTTGGTGTATTTAACACAATACGTTGAAATGAAGGAAAGCTTATTTATTGATATCCCCGATAAGCTACAAATATGTACATATACATGAGTCAAAATAAACACACAAGAGGGAGCCTTCACAAAGGTTGCTTAGGAGAAGTCTCAGCAGTCGGTAGAGCCCCAGAAAGAGAAGGCACCGGAGGGGGATCATTTGGAGCCTCAGTACTGGACAGAACCCTAGAAGGAGGAGGCATCAGAGGTTGATCATTTGGAGCTTCATTACGCGGTACAGCCCCAGAAGACGAAGGCAATAAATGCCTTTGGAACAAACCCACAAATCTCTGATGATCAAGTAAAACCTGACCATCAGTTTCCTTCATCTGGTCAAGCTTCCTCTTCATGTTTGTAGCATAGTCATGTGCGAGCCGGTGCAACTGTTTATTCTCATGCTTGAGCCCTCTAATCTCCTGTTTGAGACTCATCACTTCAGCCGCCAATGATTCAACTTGGCGGGTTCAAGCAAATAGGCGTTGGGCCATATTAGACACAGAACCTGCACACTGAACACTAAGAGCCAGCGAATCCTTAACAGCTAACTCATCAGACCGTTTGGAAAGTAGTCTGTTATCTTTGGGAGTGAGAAGGTTCCTGGCCACCACCGCAGCAGTCATATCATTCTTCATCACGGAATCCCCAACGGTAAGAGGACCAGTTGGGGAGACGAAGGATGGGCGCCATATGTTGTCTGGAGAAGCGGGGCTGCCTCTTCAACAAGGTTCAAGTCAAAACGACAGTCGGAGGGGCCAGACATTTTCAAAGGTGTTGAAGAGAGAAGAGGTCGGACAAATCAAGATTTTAGAAGTGCAAGAATGAAGCTTCTACTGGTGGAGATTCAAGTGTGCTTTGGAACTTAATGCCAGCCTCTATAAAAATCTGCACTCGACGGAGCTTCAGAAATCAAAGAGGCGCCTGCTCAGAAATCGAAGAGAGGCGTTTGCTTTCTCAAAAGTTGGGCTGCTTAGAGATCACGAGGGTTGATCTCAGAAATCGAAGAGCCGTTTGCTTTCTCAAAAGTTGGGCTGCTCAAAGACCACGAAGGCCGATCTCAGAAATCGAAGAGGCGCTCGCTTTCTCAAAAGCTGGGCTTCCTAGAGACCACGAGGGCCGATCTCAGAAATCGAAGAGGCACCTACTTTCCCAGCCTTGTCAGCACCTGTCACACACACGCACACTCAGCTTTGCGGAAATTATGGGCATTCTGTCAAAGACTTCTGGGGAAGTAGAAAACACAGGAATCTTACTGTTCAATCACCCACTTCCCACACGCAACAATAGCTCATGGGTACCACAGATAACTTTGCCAAAGTTCTCTGCCAAAGTTGAGCACGTGAAGCTTGCAGCTCCCACTACATCGCTCTGACCAAGAAGGGTAAAAGAATAGCAAAGAAACAGCACTAACAAAGTTTAGACCCATAAATTTTGAAGGTCTAGCTACCATATTATTACCCACAAGGGTAAAGGAACAGTACCACTGCTGGATAATTGGAAAGTCCATGTATGTCAACCTCTGTGCTTCGTGGCAAGGTAGACTAGCAAACATGCCCAACCTTTACTCACATTCGAGAAAACACTCCCAATAAGATTGCTTGCTCCAAAATCGAAGAGGCACCGTCCTCCGAATCTAAAGAGCCAGACTCCCAACATGACTACTTTCTTAAAAATCGAAGAGAGGGTAAAGGAACAGTACCATTGCTGGATAATTGGAAAGTCCCTGTGTGTCAACCTCTGTGCTTCGTGGCAAGGTAGACTAGCAAACATGCCCAACCTTTACTCACATTCGAGAAAACACTCCCAACAAGATTGCTTGCTCCAAAATCGAAGAGGCACCGCTCTCCGAATCTCGAGAGCCACTCTCCCAACATGATTACTTTCTCAAAAATCGAAGAGACACTGCTCCCCGAATCTCGAGAGCCAGACCCCCAGCATGATTGCTTTCTCAAAAATCGGTGAGGCACCGTTTCTCCGAATCAATCGAAGAGGCGCTCGCTTTCTCAAAAGCTGGGCTGCTCAGAGACCACGAGGGCCGATCTCAGAAATCGAAGAGGCATCTACTTTTCTAGCCTTGTCAGCACCTGTCACACGCACACTCAGCTTTGCAGAAATTATGGGCATTCTGTCGAAGACTTCTGGTGAAGTAGAAAGCACATGAATCTTACTGTTCAATCACCCACTTCCCACACGCAACAATAACTCATGGGTACCACAGATCACTTTGTCAAAGTTCTCTGCCAAAGTTGAGCACGTGAAGCTTGCAGCTCCCACTACATCGCTCTGACCAAGAAAGGTAAAAGAATAGCAAAGAAACAGCACTAACAAAGTTTAGACACATAAATTTTGAAGGTCTAGCTACCATATTATTACCCACAAGGGTAAAGGAACAGTACCACTGCTGGATAATTGGAAAGTCCCTGTGTGTCAACCTCTGTGCTTCGTGGCAAGGTAGACTAGCAAACATGCCCAACCTTTACTCACATTCGAGAAAACAGTCCCAACAAGATTGCTTGCTCCAAAATCGAAGAGGCACCGTCCTCCGAATCTCGAGAGCCAGACTCCCAACATGACTACTTTCTCAAAATCGAAGAGAGGGTAAAGGAACAGTACCATTGCTGGATAATTGGAAAGTCCCTGTGTGTCAACCTTTGTGCTTCGTGGCAAGGTAGACTAGCAAACATGTCCAACCTTTACTCACATTCGAGACAACACTCCCAACAAGATTGCTTGCTCCAAAATCGAAGAGGCACCGCCTTCCGAATCTCGAGAGCCAGACTCCCAACATGATTACTTCCTCAAAAATCGAAGAGACACTGCTCTCCGAATCTCGAGAGTCAGACCCCCAGCATGATTGCTTTCTCAAAAAATCGAAGAGGCATCGTTCTCCGAATCTCGAGAGCCAGATACCACAGACCACTTTTTCAAAGTGCTCTGACAGAGTTAAAACATGTGAAAAACTGGCAGCTCCCACTACCGTGCTATGACCAAGCAGGGTAAAGGAATAGCATTACTACTTGTTGTTAGGGAGACTCCTATATATGTCGACGACCTCCATCCCCAACGGACAGGCAGACCTGCAAAAATGCTCAACCCTTCATCATATCTGAGAGGGCACTCCCAACAAAGCCTTTCGAAATATTCAGCTTTCTTTCCCCCCGATAATACCTCTGCAAACAAGCTATACTAGAGCAAGAATATCTCATATCATCAGGGTTAAAAGCAAGAGTATCCCATATCATGCTTTTTCCCTGTTTTTTTCTTTTGGCCTTGTTTTTACCTGCAAGACAAGGAGAAAGAGAGCAATCAGTCAGCACTTGGAATCAAGCTTCCAGCCAGGAACTGACTGCCTGGAACCCCTTACCTGATTACTTACCTGGCATTGCTCTCGAGTACTCATCTTCATCATCTTATGTTTCCAGGGAAGATTCCGCATCTGCTTGAGGAACAGATAGGGCAAGTGCGAAGGATACAAGGAAGCATGTGGAGACAAGCGTAACAGCACACGTGCCGATACATCCATTACTCTGTCAAAAGCAAAAGTATCCCATATCAGCAGGGTGGAACGTACTCTAGATTTGATGGACTTGTTTTTTAGGACTCAAATTCTTCAGTCGGCCTTATACTCTGGAGGAAACCAGAAAACCCTCCAGCTCAGTTCAAGAATAAGCCTGTGGAAAGTTACTTCTTCAAAAGCAAAAGTATCTCATATCATCTCTTCTCATTTTTCTTCTCTTTATCCTTCATGCTGCTGCAAGATGGGGAGAAGGTGAACAATCAGTCGGAGCTCTGATTGCTTACCTTGTCTGTCACCTCTTTCAGCAGACCCCCTAGCTCGGCGACTTGGGGGACTCCTACTACATGGTTTGTATCGCGCTTGACCAAGCCTGAAACTACAAGTAAGCTTCAAGTGAAATTGATACATTACCTTGTGCATCTCCACCAGTTAAAGATACCACCCCTGGATGGAGGAAGAGTACTTCCAGAGAAGATGCCACATCTACCTATGAGACAGATAAGGCAAGTCAAGACGACACACACACTCCGATACTTAGAAGTTTCGTGATTACGAGATCATTCTCCCACAATATTTCCTAATGTCATTTGTACTAAATCATTCACTCGTACTCACTAAAGGAGAGCTTGAACCTATGTACTTGTGTAAACCCTTCACAATTAATGAGAACTCTTCTATTCCGTGGACGTAGCCAATCTGGGTGAACCACGTACATCTTGTGTTTGCTTTCCTATCTCTATCCATTTATATACTTATCCACACTAATGACCGGAGCAATCTAGCGAAGATCACAAAAAGCGACCGTTTTCGTTACCTAGGATCTATCTTGCAAGAGAACGGAGAATTAGATGGAGATCTCAACCATAGAATACGAGCTGGATGGAAAGAGTGCATCCGGCGTGTTGTGTGACCGTCGTAGGCCACTGAAGCTCAAGGAAAAATTTTTATAGGACGGCAATAAGGCCAGCGATGTTGTATGGCAGAGAATGTTGGGTGGGAAGCATCAACACGTACACAAAATGGGTGTAGCGGAGATGAGGATGCTTCGTGGGATGTGTGGGCACACGAGAAAGGATAAGATTGGGAATGAGGATATCCGAGGTAAAGTAGGAGTAGCCGAAATTGTAGGAAAGATGAGAGAAAATCGGCTCTGGTGATTTGGACATGTGCAAAGAAGGCCGACTGACGCTCCGGTTCGAAGATGTGACTACGGGACAGAGGTTCAGGGCCGAAGGGGTAGAGGAAGACCTAGGAAAACTTTGGAAGAGACTCTAAGAAAAGACTTAGAGTACTTGGATCTAACGGAGGGCATGACACAAAACCGAGCGCAATGGCGTTCTAGGATTCATATAGCCGACCCCACTTAGTGGGAAAAGGCTTTGTTGTTGTTGTTGTTGTTGATTAAAGTTTCCTTTCAACAAAATGGTTGCTCCTTTGTGACTGAAAGGTCACGGGTTCGAATCGTTGAAACAACATCTTTGCAAAGTAAGGGTAAGGATGCGTACCTCCAACCCTCGCAAAGCAGGGGAGCCTTGTTCGCTTGGGGTTGCCCTTTGGATATATTGGATAAGGTAAAGGGTTAAGTAAACATTGGAATTGTTAAAGCAAAATGCTGGATGGAAGGGACTTTGGAGAGGATGGAGGAGTATGTGTTTAAGTTGGTGATATATGTTTTTGTCAAAATATTTTCGACAGATTAGGATAGTTGTAACCTGTGAATGAAGAAATTTTTATGAGGTCTAGGAGGTAGGGGACTTGAAGTCATAAATCTGAGTTGAACTGGATGCCAGCCGTGATCGATATTTAGAGGAATTTACAAACTTAGGAAGTTAAAGTAGGTTTTAATAGTTAGCATGAATCATAATGTAGCATGAATTAGAGCATTTCTAAGTAACAATGTTGTGGGAAAGGTAGTTTTCGTGTTGATGGGTTAAGATTGGGAACTGTAGGGATCGATAGTCTGAGCGAAATATTAGATAGATAACGTTGATCAAAAGTTAGCAGTTTAGTAGGAGAATTGTAAATGTCATTACAAAAGATTGAGTTGAGAAGAAAACGAAGGGTAATATCAGGTTCAGCAGGTAAACTTGTAGCTTACCAGAAGGAGAGTATAGGCGCTGCAGGACACGGTTAATAGCTTTGTTACGAGGTCTAGGAGGTAGGGGACTGGAAGTCATAAATATGAGTTGAACTGGATGCCAGCCACAATCGATGTTTAGAGGAATTGACGAACTCAAAAGGTTGAAATTATTGGCAACCAGCCCCTCTGACAGATAGAAGCTATAAGCTGTCGAAGGTAGTATAGCTCTTCAATTGATCATTTCCATGACGAGTTTTACGGTCAAGATTTCATGCATACCATTGCCTCTTTATGAACATGCTTTACCCGAAGGCAACATTGTTTTGTTAAACGTGCAGCTTTGAGAATAAGGGTACAAACATTTCTGTTTCGGTTGAGGATAACGGCGTTAGTGAAGAGGGAAAATATGGTAAACCATGAGTATCTCAAGGGATACCGTCGTTGGCATCAATAAATTTTCTTTCTCATGATTGCTCTGCAGGTCCGAGTGGAACATCTTTGAATGCAAGTTCACGGAAGTTGGCTGGGGAGACGAGCACGAATTATCCAATACAGAGGTGGCGAAGCAGATGTGAACCGAACTTGTCACGCTGATGCAGTGGTTTAGTTGATAACTTGTAAATCACCGGAGAACATGCGTATTTCGGTTTGATGATTGACCTAATCATAATTCGGGTACTTTTACTTGACTGTTGATCGTGATTTCGTGTGGAACTGATCGTGATTTCGGCATTTGAATTTCATGTATAAAAAGATGGTGATGCTCTGTTGTCGAAATGTGTATATTTTATGACTTTCATTAGAATCTCCATGTCTCTTAAGCTCTCTATAATGCAGGAATTGTTTTCGGTTCTTCAGGAAATTAAGGTCCATAATTAGCATGGAAGTGATTTCCGCACACCGATTAAAGTAGAACAATTGTGAGCGGAAATCATTTTCGATTTAATATTCAATGAAAATAAGTACTGGTTTGGTACTGAGGTGCTTTTATAAAAAATGGGTATATAAAAAAGCTGAGCTTAAAAAGGTGTTTGGTAAACATTTAAAAACAACTTAGCTTCACAGTTTTGGGTGAAAAAAAAACTGAAAACGTGAAACAGTAAAAATGAGTTTATTCTCACAGCATAGCAAAAATAGTTTTTTTTCTTCAAAGTACAGCAATACCAAACCAGCCCTAAATCTTATTGTTAGAATCATAATGAAATTACCTCTCAAGCTATTCAATTAAAAATTTACATTAAACAAAATCGTTTTTCAGTTTTGAAATCATCAAGTTTAAAAACCATGTCCTATGTGTTGAATATATCACTGCAAACTCATCTATGCCAGCTCATCAAAATAGTTGTAAAGGATTGGATGATGTAATAGTTAATTGGAAGAGTTAATTAGTTCTCTAGTCAGCTATATATAGATATTGTAAACAGATAGTAAAATCAGTTCTTTAAGTTTAATACAAAAGCTTCATTCATTCAATCTCAAACTGGGAAACCTAGTTGAGATTGAGAGGGGATGTTGAATATATCACTGCAAACTCATCTATGCCAGCTCATCAAAATAGTTGTAAAGGATTGGAGGATGTAATAGTTAGTTGGAAGAGTTAATTAGTTCTCTAGTCAGCTATATATAGATATTGTAAAAGTCAAACAGTATATGGGTAAAATCATGTATATTATTCTCTCTGAGAGTAGAGTATAAATAGGGTTTACAAAGAGTACTATACAAGTAAGTAAACTATACAGGTAAGTAAACTATACAGGGAAACAAATAGAACCCTAAATACGGCTAATTAATCTATACAAATCGCTACACTCCCCCTCAAGTGGGCGCGAAGATATCTCGCATGCCCAACTTGTCAAGCGAATTGGAGAAAACACTAACAGAGACAGCCTTAGTAAGGACGTCAGCTAACTGTTGCTCAGATGGTACGAAAGGAAAAGCAATAACTCCAGCATCCAACTTTTCCTTAATAAAATGCCGATCAATCTCCACATGTTTTGTACGGTCATGTTGTACAGGATTGTGAGCAATTTCAATCGCAGATTTATTGTCACAGTGTAACACCAAGGCTTTCTCGGACTTGAAACCAAGGCCATTCAATAACTTTTGCAACCAAAGTAACTCACATACCCCATGCGCCATTCCACGAAATTCAGCCTCCGCACTCGACCGAGCAACAACCTTCTGTTTCTTACTTTTCCAGGTGACGAGATTGCCACCAACAAAAGTAAAGTAGCCAGACGTAGAGCGTCGGTCTGTAACTGAACCAGCCCAATCCGCATCTGTGTAGCCTTCAATATTCAAATTACCATTCTTGGAAAATGGTAAACCCCTACCAGGAGCGGATTTAAGATACCTGAGAATACGTACAACAGCATCCATATGAGCCTCACTAGGCAGATGCATAAACTGACTCACAACGCTTACAGGATAGGCTATATCTGGACGCGTATGAGACAAATAAATTAATCTTCCCACCAGTCGCTGATAACGCTCCTTATTAGTAGGAACCTGATCAGGATATGACCCCAATTGATGATTTTGTTCCATAGGAGTGCTAATAGGCTTACAGTCTACCATACCAGTTTCAGCCAACAAGTCCAAAACATACTTCCTTTGGGAAAGATATATACCATGCTTGGATCGAGCAACTTCAATCCCAAGAAAATACTTCAATTCACCCAACTCTTTCATTTCAAATTCAGAAGCAAGATATTGTTGTAAAGAGCTAATCTCTTCATGATCATCACCTGTCACTATCATATCATCAACATATATGATCAATGTCGTCACTTTACCCTTTCTCCGTTTAAAGAATAAGGTATGATCCGAGTGACTTTGTATGTAACCAAACTTTCTCATGGATGCAGTAAACCTCCCAAACCATGCTCTAGGAGATTGTTTTAAGCCATATAAAGCTTTGCGTAACTTGCACACAACACCCTTATGGGAAGCAATGGACGTACCAGGTGGTAAATCCATATACACTTCTTCTTTAAGATCACCACATGCAAGAAAGCATTTTTAACATCAAATTGCAACAAGGGCCAATCTAAATTAGCAGCAAGAGATATAAGGACACGAACCGTATTAAGCTTAGCAACGGGAGCAAAAGTCTCTTGGTAGTCCACTCCATATGTTTGTGTATAACCCTTCGCTACTAATCGGGCTTTGTAGCGATCAATTGAACCATCTGCTTTATGCTTCAAAGTAAACACCCATCGACAACCAACCATCTTCTTTCCACTTGGTAAAGGCACCAAATCCCATGTGGAATTCTTATTCAAAGCCTGCATCTCAATGTCCATAGCCTCCACCCATTTAGGATCAGATAAAGCATCCTGCAACTTAGTTGGTACACATACAGTAGATAATTGACATATATACGACTCATGTGACTTAGAAAGGCGATGAGTTGACAAATGATTACTAATGGGATATTTGGACTTTGTGTGTATATCAGGAGAATATTGGATTTTAGGTTTACCACGATTAACTCGTGGGGGCAACTGATAAGTAGATATAGGCACATTAGTAGACAATACCTCTGTGGCATCACTTTCATCTTCACAAGTCGATTGAGACAATGGTAGGGCAGAGGGGTTTGGAATACTACTATTCGGTACATCTTCATCAATATTTTCATCCACCACGTCACTGTCAAAGTATGTTACTCCTTCACTAGTACACGGCAACTTTGCATTGAGTGAAGGGTGAGTACACGGCAACTGCTCAGGGTGAGTACACGGCAACTGCTCAGTGGATGAAGGGTGACACGGTGGATCAAGCAACCTCACAATATCACTATTTCCTGCACTCTCTGTTGCTCCTTCACTAAACACTTTGCAAACTCTCTCCTCGGGAAGTGGAGGGATAAGAGACGATGAGGCAAAATACGGGACCTCTTCATGGAAAGTGACATCCATGGAGACATAAGTCTTTTGAGTAGGAGGATGATAACACTTGTAACCTTTTTGAGTATTTGAATACCCAATGAACACACATCGAAGAGCACAAGAATCTAGCTTACTCCGTTGATGAGAATAAATATGCACATACACAACACATCCAAACACCTTGGGAGGGAGCTTGGAGACAGCAATAGGTGAGATATGTTCTTGTAAAATTGCAAACGGTGTGCGGAAATCATGAACCCGGCTAGGAGTCCGATTGATCAAATAACATGCGGCTAAAACTGCATGTCCCCAAAGATAATTAGGGACCGACATTCCCAAGAGCAAAGCACGAGCAACTTCAAGTAAATGACGATTCTTCCGCTCAGACACACCATTTTGTTGGGGTGTAAACGGAGTAGTCGTCTGATGAATAATACCTTGTTCACGAAAGAAACAACTCAAGGCAGTGTTCACATATTCTCCTCCATTATCAGACCGAAGCACTTTGACTTTAGTCTGGAACTGAGTAGATACCATGGCAGTAAATTCTTGTACAATAGATGTCACATCACTTTTATGCTTCATTAAGAAAACCCAAGTTAAGCGTGTGCAATCATCAATAAAAGTGATAAACCAACGAAATCCATTGGAAGTAATCTTAGCAGGACCCCATACATCGGAATGTACCAACGCAAATGGCTGAAGAGCTTTATTATTACTTAAGGGAAAAACAGTACGATGGCTTTTGGCCAATACACATGTTTCACACTTAAAACAAGTCTCATCATATGAACGACATAGGGAAGGAAATACATGTTTAAGATATCCAAAAGAAGGGTGTCCCAAGCGACGATGCCATAACCACAACTCATGCTTGTCCTTGTCACTGCCACTCTGAACTTTATTAGCAATACTACCACGAACCACATCTGTTGGTAGAGTCAAGTAGTATAACCCCTCTATCCTTTTACCACGTCCAATCGTCTCGTGAGTTTTGAGATCCTGAAACATACACCATGTAGGATAGAAAGTAGCATAGGCATTTAGTGAGTTCAGTAATCGTCCCACAGATAATAAATTACAATTAATATTGGGTACCAATAACGCATGTGTCAGGGACAAGGTAGGCGTAAGTGTGATTGTGCCTTCTCCAGTAATTGGAGACGGCATACCATTGGCAGACGTGATAAAAGGGTCACGAGTTTGGCTAGACAACTCATCAAAAAACTTAGAATTATAAGTCACATGATCAGTAGCACCAGTGTCAATTATCCATGTATTGGAAACGTTACCTGGTACGGAATTTGTCACACTCAAATTCATGGAAGGACGAGGCGACTCAATTTCGCCTGCAGTCACGACATGAGCATCTTTGGAGCCAAACTTACGGGCTTTGTACTCAGGAAACCAATCTGGAACACCATGAAGCTCGAAACATTTTTCTACAAGATGATTACCTCCACAATGGGCACATTCACGAGAACCAGGTTGAGCCTTTGCTGCAGGAGGGCGGGAGACGGCAGACTTGGAGTTCGAAGAGCCTCCGGAACGTGTATTCACAAGGGACGACTGACGACCACCACCGCCAGTTGAGGAAGCACCATTGGTCCGATGCTGGCTTGTACCAATCTTCAAAGCAGCAGCACCCCCAAGCATAGTGACTTGACGGGTGCTTTCTTCCACGACTAATGCATACGCCTCCAAGACAGAAGGCACCGGAGTCATAGCCAAGATACGGCTACGAACACCATCAAACTGTGGATCAAGCCCTCCAAGAAAATCATACACCCTCTCAGATTCGATTTCCTTCTGTCGGAGAGCCACATCCTTAGGGTTGGTATGTGGATTAGGACGAAGATTGTCAATCTCCTCCCAGATAACATGAAGCTTCTCATAAAACATAGCAACAGATTCACCATCTTGGGTTGTAGTCACGGACTGTCTTCGAAGTTGAAACAACCGGGAGCTG